GTCAAGCCATCCAAATGTTTCTCGCTCCGTGCGACCGGCCCTCTAAATACACTTAAAATGCCGTATGATCCATCATCACGAAAACTATCTTATAATGCGGTTACTTGTTCCTCGGTTTTATTTTTATTTATTTAGTTTTAATTAGGATCACATACAGTTGCTAACATATGTATGTAACCACAGGGAACCCACACAAGCGGTGTGTCTGGTCGTTTGTTCGAAATATAAAGAAATGTATGGGAGAATATTGAAAGTCGTAATATCGTAAACTTACTCAAAGAATGTCTATGTTAAGGCTCAAAATAAATGTAAACCTACCTCACTTGCCGTGTATTGTCATTTCTATGGTTCTAAATGGCGAATTTGAGCGATTTGGTAGATTTTGCGATGACTGTTACTCTACTGTATAAGAAGGAGACAAGGGTGGAAAGCTCATTTTCGACCGCTCCGCTTTCGAAGCCGATTTTGACCCAGAAATTGGAATCGCTCGGCTTCCAAATCGAACACCAGATAAACCAAAAGGTTGACACTTCTTCTCGTGTCATTCAATCGAAGATCCATTCAAAATCCAAACGCTAACCGCCAAAAAACTTTCGAGAAATGCAGCTTTCCAAGCGATCGGCATCCGCGGCACAGATTTGGTGTGCCAGGGAGCAACCGTCACGCTGTTTGCTCCACGCTGATTGGATTATGGTAAACGATGCCCTGTTTCAAAAGCCTCATGTGAGAGGGGAGTCAGGGACATATTCGCGCCGGCGATTCATCTACTGACTAGACGTTCCTCGGGGTCATCTTACATGAGGATTCAGTTCCTCTCTGATGGCAGCCTTTTGTATTGATTATTACAACAAAGTTGTTTATAAATATAAATAAGTTTACGATACTACGACTCTTCAATATTCTTCCATACATTTCTTTGTATTTCGAACAAACGACCAGACACGCCGCTTATGTGGGTGCCCTGTGGTGTTCCCACAGATCGTTTGTAATAAGTAGAAATCGCTTCAGCAAAGTTAGTTAGTTTAAGTGTCATTTCTTATTGATTCTACCGTAGATTGCATCTGTACTTTCCATACGGAAGCGAAAAGGGATAATCCCAAAATATTTTTAACATCCGACAAAATCTTTTGGCGAAGGAACGTTCGAGTAATGGGCAGAATTTCTGATCGTATTGTATGTCAGACCATCGAATGAAGGATGTATTATTCCACAATTATTTCATTTTACAGTATTTTGGTGTCTAGTTTTCGAGATAAATCATTCGGTCGGATCTTAGTATCGTAGCCATCGGATAAGTTTTAAGCACTAAAGATTGAATTTAAATCACTAGCGAATGATATTTTCAGTACAAATGGCTCCCCGTGGATGAGCTAATTTCCTACATGACATCATCGCCCTGTCTCTGCAACTAAATTCACCATTTTGCCTGCGCCGATTGTCATTCAGGTATAATATTTCTTGCGTGAAGCGATGTTTTAAGAGTAGCAGTTAAATGTCAAGGGTAGTGGATAATATCACTCAAAAGACTTG